ATATATATATATATATATATATATATACACACACACACGTGTGTTTTTCGAAAAGTACCTTTATGTATACTATTGCCTATTATTACTTTTTTCCACTCTTGTTACTTGTAGTAAACCTACCTTCCTTGATGTTGAAAGTTACCTTTAAAAATTTCAGATTTAAAGTGGTTGAAAAGTGTATGGTTTGTACTCTTTTTGGCCTTTCCAACATTAAGCTATAATCAGAAATTTTGATTGAAAAAGTGACAAATTCTGAAGTTCTTCATAAACGCCCCCCTCCTGGTTGATTACAGAGCACTTTTGTCATAGTTTTGGGCTATGAATTTGTTTCTTTATACTTAAGATCAAATTGTATTTTTGTAGTATAATTTTACCAAATTCTGTGAAGCTTTTATATAGCCTTTTTTCCTTTTCTTTTCTTAATGCATTGTACAATAAGCTACCTGTGATTTGCCTTTGAATGGATTTTACCTTCCTAGGGTTTCCTTTAGATACTTTAATAGGGAGGTCAGGTCTTTGATGTGGAATCCTTTCATTTAGGCATTAAAAAGATCTTTTGAAAAGTATTAGCTGATTAGATGGAGAAGAAAACACACACACACACACACACACATTCAAGTGAGAAGGCATTGTTGTCTCCCTAAGGAAAATGGTGATACATTTCTACAACAAAAAATTATGTTTTCTTAATAAATGGGTAAGTCATTTCTGTATTTCACAAATGTTTCTGGGGATTAAAAAGTTTTGAGATGTAAAGAGAAAGAATTTCAAGAGCTGGTTCTTTTTAATCCCAGGTAACTTTTAGGGTGAATTTATTGGGCTTTTTTTTGTGTTTATTTATTTGTGATTAGCTAGCCTTTGAATAAGAAACCGATATTTCAATGAGAAACTAGTCTTTAAAAAAATACACATTTGCTGACAACTGTGGCTTATTTTCTCCCACAAATTCATAATGATTCTTTAAATTATTTTTTCAATACCAGAAATGAATTAGGTTAGTAATTACATTCATGGCATTTCTACTGTATGTATGATGTGCTATATGACATTCTTTTACTTTTCAGAACACTTAATAAGGCAGCATGGCTTAGTGGAAATAACACCAACTTTAGAGTCTGAGAGAGTGAGGTTTGGATTCCACGTTAGTTATGTAACTGTGAACACTTCCTTAACCTCTCTGAGCCATAATTTTCTTATTTGTATAAAGAGATATTAAGTCCTTTCTCATAAGAGTGTTTAAGTATTAAATGAAATCTTTACGGAAGTAGATTGCCCAAACTTCCTTGGAAGGAGTGGCTGGTGGGTTTGAACCACCAGCCTTCTGTTTAGCAGTCAAATGCCTTAGGCACTATGCCACTAGAGCTTCCTTTAATTAAATAATATCTATTAAATATTTATCATAGTTCCTGGCACTTGGCAGTTGCGCAATTATACATAGAAGTGTTAAACTGGATAGTAAAATACTACCTATTATATATTGAATGAGCTCTGATGGTACAGTGCTTAAAGCATTTGACTGCTAACCCAAAGGTTGGTGGTTAGAACCTACAAACTGCTCCCCGGGAGAAAGATGAGGCAGTCTCCTTTCATAAAGATTTACAACCTTGGGAACCCTATGGGGCAGTTCAACTGTGTCCTATAGGGTAGCTATGAGTCAGGATCAACTCAGTAGCATTGGATTATTGTATATTATTTCCTAGGAGCCAGGCATTCTTTGAAATTCCTGACATGCATTATCTCAGTTAATCTTCACAATAATCCTGTATCTCTTCAGTGTCAATCATTTCTCTGTGGCAAGTGAGGATATTGAGAATCAGATTAAAGATATTTAGCTCAATGCCGTCAGAAGGAAAGTTGGGCAATCTACTTCCACAGTGATACCTCCCGGGAAACCCAAGGAGGAGTCGCTATGAGTTGGGTCCAACTCCATGGCACAAAACAACAACAGCAACAACAACTCAATGCCTTACAGTTACAAAATGGTGAACTAGAAATTGAAACATGCAGTCTTCCTCTAGAGCGTATTCTCTTAAATCCTGTTATACTGCCTCCAGCCTTTAAGACCACTGCTGTTTGAAGAGTTTCTTAAAGTGTTGAAGGCCATATTGTTACTAAGTGACTGAGTTGGGATTTAAATTAGAGTCTTGTTTCAAATCTTCCAGAGTTAATTAATTAAACAGAATTAGAGGGTTGGGGCATTCTGTCGGCAACTTGGCATTTGTCTATTAAGTGGACGGCTAAGGAAGAAAGTGTTTTGAGTCAGAGAATGTCTTAAGAAAGAAGGGTCAATAGAGTGATAGCTATACTTCTTCTACTACAGAGTTTGCATGTATCTTAGAAGTAGGTGCTATCACACACACACACCTATACATCACACATTTTAATAAATTAAATCTTTAGAGCTAAATACGTTTTGTTGTTGTTGTTATGTGCCGTCGAGTCGGCCCCGACTCATAGCGACCCCTCCTTGGGTTTCTGAGGCAGTATCACTACGGAAGTAGGATTGCCCAACCTTCCTTCCGAGGAGTGGCTGGTGGGTTTGAACCGCCAGCCGTCTGGTTAGCAGGCAAGTGTCTTAGCCACTATGCTACAAAACATTTTTCATCTAAATAAAAATTTGGTGATAAAATTTTCTTCAGGATAATATAACCATAAAAAGTCTGGGAGAGAAGGTGTTTTACCAAGGTTGTTGGAATTTTATACAAGTATTTTATTGTTCTTTTCTTCCCTTTTTTTTCAAATTCAATTAGTTCCTAGCTTATGACAAATTTCCATTCTGGCAACTCTGGCATTAGTCCACTGTGAGCTAAGTGGAGTATTTCATTTTTTTAAATTTTTATCATTATTGCCCTTTATAATCAGAATCTTTATAAATTATAACACTGAACATCTAATAGTGAACATCTGAGAATGTAAACATCATCAAATTATGCTCAGCAACATTGTATGTAGTACGTATTGCTAACAAGATACACCCCCAAAAACAGAAAAAAACCAGATGGTCATAAGTACAGTGCAATTCCTGGTAACAATAGTACATCATAAGTTGGGCACTATCTGTATAGTTGTACTGCTTGAATTTTAGATAAAATATATCTTTTAAAAATCCTCGTGTTAACATTGACTAAAACCAACTTCATCATAAACAATTTTAAACACTTTAACCCAAATCATAACAAGAATTTAAAAAATAAAATAAAACAATTTTAAATACCACCAACTCAGGTTATAGTAGACAAATATTTTTCAGAGTCTTCTGATGTCTTAAGTTGTTATTTCATTCTGTGTTATTCACTTTTGGAAACTAGCTTAACTTGAATGAGATAGTATGAAAAAAATTAACTCTATAACTACAGATACAGAATTTTAATGCACTGAATTTTCATAAATCTGAAAAGCCACAGAAATACACAAGGTTTTCCTTTTTTTTTTTTTAATTTAAAATATGTTCACATTATTACTTCATTCACTATTATGGAGGTATACTCCTAGTCATGAATGAATAAATTTTACTATTGGTGAAGGTCCATTTTGTATCATGTATAAGTTGGTTGGAACCACTGTCCTTACTTCAAACCCATCCCCAATTATGGCAGTTTTAATGGAATGTTTTCTCTCAAGTCCAGACCTCTCTACTTACTGTTCCCCATGCCTAGAGCATTCTCTCCTTACTTTGCTGAGCTAGATTATCATACTGACCCTCTGATATCTCCTCAGACTACTTCCTCTAGTACGGTTTATATCCATCTTTTTCACCTTTGTTTTTCTAATATAGTTCATGGCATGTAGTGGATGCATATATTGAATAACAGATGGACCCCTCTACAATAGCTGACATATTTAATAGCTGACATTTAACATAGTACCAACCAAGTGTCATATACTGTTCTAAGAAACTTACCTATATTCACTTACTTAACCCTTACAAGTCTGTCAGATATGTGTACTGTTATTAATCCTGTTTTACAGATGAGGAAACTGAGGCATAGAGAGATTATCTCTTACTTCTGTCATACAGCTAGTAAGTGACAAAGTTGGGATGCTAACCTAAGCTGTCTGGCTCCTGAGGAGGTGCCATACATGGCTGAGCTGTATTCACTCCTATTTGTGTAGCTGCTATAATTATTTTAGAAAAAACTAACTTGAAACCCAGCCTCCTAAAATAAAAATGTGGCCACTTTTATTTGTAACAGTGCTTTTGTCTTTAAATAACTTATTTATATTTTAGGATTGCTTCAGAATTTAAGCTTAAGCAATTAAAGGTAGGCTAACTTTTATTCAAAGCCCTTTACTTTACCTTTCACTAACTTATACAATTACTCATCATTGTTACTGGGGTTTACAGTTCATTTGTATAGATGTAGTTCTTCAAGTTTATTTTTTCACTCTGTGAGAACCTTGTTACAATAGCTAAAGAAAGAACATCTGTTCCAGACTGCTGCCTCAAGCCATGTAGACCAAGGGGGAGAGGTCCCATGATCTTGGAGCTTCCTTGGAGTAACAGCTGTTCATTCTGACAGCAGTTTAACTAACCTTTTTTCTAGTTAAGGGGTCTCAATTGAGAATTTGTTTTTTTGTTTTTGTTTATTTTTTTAAATAGGAGACTATAGGTAGAATGCTTATTAGCAAGAGTGATTTCTATTTTAACTGTTTAGCCATTTTCCCAAAAAAGCAAGTAAGTTTGCATTGTAATTTTATTTATCTTTATTTTTATTACCGACTTCAACAGGAAGAAAAACAAAACAATTGACAATGATAGAGTGCTCTTTTTTATTGGACCCAGTGCTACGTGCTTTTGGTGGACTGTCTTAGTCCCCACATTTTTGTGAGAGTCAGAACGTTACAAGTGAGATAACCGCAGGCTAGAGAAGCTCAGTGCCTTTGCAGAGGTGCTTCAGAATTGATTAAAAACAAAAACACAAAAGAATCATTCCTGTCAAGTTGATTCCAAGTCATGGGGACCCCATGTGTTGCAGAACCGAATTGCGCTTCATGGAGTTTTTAATGGCTGTAATCTTTTTGGATCTAGACTGGTAGGGGCTGGGATTTGAACCTAAAGAGACCTGGTGGTAAAATTGTTAACCATTCAGCTGCTAACTGAAAGGTTGGAGGTTCAAACCTACCAGCAGCTGTGAATGAGAAAAGACCTGATGATCTCCCATAAAGATTACAGTATAGGAAACCCTATGGGGCTGTTTGACTCTGTCTTACTGGGTTACTATGAGTTAGAATCTATTCATTGGCACCCAACAGTAGTATTGGAACAAAGGTCTACCGGACTCAAGTGTATGTACACTGCTGCTCAGAGAGTTTATCAGAAAAGTCAAAATGTAACGTATAAAGGTGTTTTGATGAACTTACTAGTAGGAATCATTACCAGGAATATTATATTTTCTTGTTCCTCAGTATAATAAATTTCTATTTGCATTGTGTGTCCATGATAGAATGCTGGCAGATGTAATTCTATTTCAAAGTACAGAATGTACTCATAAAAATTATAAAAAAAAAACCAACACCACCAAATGTATTGCTATCAAGTCGATCCTGGCTGATAGTGACCCCCATTGGGTTTTCAAAGCCACAAATCTTTTTTTTGAATTTTTTTATTGTGATTTGGGTGCAGATTTACAAAGCAGATTCATTTTACTCTGAACATTTCATGTACATTTGGTTTCACAGCTCGATTATATTGTTGTTGTTGTTGTTATGTGCTGTCGAGTCAAACCTGACTCATAGCGACCCCTCCTTGGGTTTCCAAGGCAGTATCACTATGGAAGTAGGATTGCCCAACCTTCCTTCCGAGGAGTGGCTGGTGGGTTTGAACCGCCAGCCGTCTGGTTAGCAGGCAAGTGTCTTAGCCACTATGCTACCAGAGCTCCCTTCGATTATATTAGCAACAATAAAAAGCTCTCCTCTCAAACAAGAGCTCTGGTAGCGTAGTGCCTAAGGCATTTGACTGCTAACCAGAATGCTGGAGGTTCAAACCTATCAGCCACTCCTCGGAATGAAGGTTGGGCAATTTACTTCTGCAGTGATATGCCTAGGAAACCCAAGGAGGGGTCACTATGAGTCAGATCTGACTTGATGGCAGTGAGTTTGGTTTTTGGTTTGCCCTTTTTATCTATGCATTCTTGTCTGTCTAGATTTCACTCTATTCAAATGCTGCCTTTCTGATGTCTCATGGTTGATTGCTCTAATGTTGTGCATCTCCCTAGGCTAGGCGGATTGATCTCCATTGTGTAGGTGTTCTGCTTGTAGGTCTTTCCACTGTTTGGCTGAGAGCTAATCCACAGAAGTGAATCCAGTTCCAGAACTGAAGGATAACCCAGGGCCATAGTCTCGGGGACTCCACCATTCTCTATCTGACCAGTAATTCAGGTCACTTTCATGATTTTGAATTTTGTTCTACATTTTTCCTCCCACTCTATCCAGGATCTCCAATTCTGATCCCTTTCTGAGTGGTTGGCATTGGTAGCCGGGCACCATCTAGTTCTGATCTCACGGTTATGAAAGCTGAGGGCCCTGTAGTCCATAATATCCTTTGACTAATTGTTTCCATATAACTTTGATTTTCTTCACTCTTCTTTGCTCCAGAAAAGGGGAGACCAGTAGTTGCATCTTAGATGGCCGCTCAAAAGCTTTTAAGACCCTAGTCGCTACTCATCAAAGTGGGATGTAGACAAGATATTTAGGCACTATGTTGTGCCAATTGAGTTTGATGTCCCCTGAGACCATGGACCCAAGCCCATAGGTCCAGTGACTCTCTCCCTCAAGATGTTTGGTTGTCTCTGAGAAGTTACTCTAACCTTGTCCCCTGCTACTTCTGTAATGTATGTAGATATTTTTGTAGCACAAATACATATGTAAGAAAATCTTCTCAAAGCTATAAATCTTTACAGAAGTAGATTGCCTCATCTTCCTCCTTTGAAGCAGCTGGTGGGTTTGAACCACTGACCTTCTGGTTAGCAGCCAAATGCCTTCCCACTACACTACCTGAGTTCCTTTTTAAAAAAAGTGAGGTGACTATAAATGTGAAGCCTTGTTGCTGCAATGTGGGTTATGGTGAGGGGTGAGAGTCAGCCCTTTTCTGTAACAGAGTATTATTTCCTGCAGTATTTATGTGAAGCATAAAGTTCAGATCAGAGATATTAGCTGAAAATATTTCACCTTATACTATAGTTGACTCAATTGGTAGCCTCCCAGGCATCTAGACTTACCATGAAGTGAATGCATGCCTTTCTTTGTACAGTATTGTAGAACAATAATCATCTTTTTCCACTTGTCATCTGATGTCTCTGATGTTAGTTCCATTATCTTATACTATTATAAATTATATAATTACTAATCTCCTTGTAGTAACAAATAATAACACAATTTTATAAAATCACTTGAGCTCAGTATGGAGTTTTTGTTGGATCTAGCTAGCAACCTCCATGATTCCTTTGCCTTTTCCAATAGCTAAGGCACTTGACTGCTAACCAGAAGACTGACAGTTCAAACCCACGGGCCACTCCTTGGAAGGAAGATGGGACAATCAACTTCCATAGTGATACTACCTCAGAAACCCAAGGAGGGGTCGCTATGAGTCGGGTCCGAATCGACAGCACATAACAACAACAACATATCATGTTCATATTTGTCTTTTTATTTTAAACCTAATTTTTCTGTCTTTCATTGGTCACTGTGGCCTTGAAGCATAATGTATGTCCTGATCTGACTTCCCATTCATATTCATATTAGGGAAACTTGCTCTAACTTATTTTACTCACATGAGGCTAAATAACATTTCTTCTCCTTTAATACTCTCATTACTCATCCTGGTGACATTTCCTTATTACTTCTTTTTAAATCAGTGTAAGTTCTCTTGCTAGTTTCTCTCATTAACCAGCATTTTTAGCACAATGAAACAGCACTCTTAGCTCCTTAAGCAAAATTCATCTGATGCATTATTTGTTTTGTTTAGTATAGGAATACTTGCATTCTTTCACCCCTTAGGATCCCTTTGTTTTTCCTTTTAGGTAACATGTTTCAAAAGAATTTTTCCACCAAATTGTACTTTCTCAGCATGTATCATTTTTCTGTTTTAGTTAGACACATACAACCACTATGAGGAGCACCTCTTGTAGTAACATATATTCCCATATAGAATTGATGTGATTATATTTAAAGAAATCACATATTTTGGTGTATATAGCTTTTTTTCTGAGCACATAAACATTTTCAGTTAGAATTTTAAAGCAAAAGAAGGACAGTAAACATTCCTCTATTAATAGTTCCTAAGACCCTGAGTATCTGGAAACTCCAGTTTTGGTTTAGGATTTAAAGGGCAACAGAAAGCAACTCTTGCCTTAAAAAGGATTACTATGCACATCCAAAAAGTACAGCAGGTTTGTATTGTTTCCTCTTTGCACTGGGCATATATTATTGGTGCAGAACTTTGTAGTTACTATTTTCTAGCCCATAAAGTCCAGTCTTTCCCCTTAAACATTTTGGTTCCTAATATACATAACTGAAATCTGAATTATGTATGATGACAGTCAAATGGAGAATCTGATTTCTTCAAATCTTAAGTGACTGACAAATACTGTATGAGCTAGGCCTTAACCTCTGTTTGCTTGTCTCTTTATGTATTTTTAATGCTTATGTAACTATTCGCCTCTCTAGTCCACAGTGGTGGAGAGTCAGGCTCTGGCATATGAGAACCCTGCATTTATTTGATGGCTGTCTTGGCTGCTTATTAGCACTATGACTATGGATAAGTTACTTAACTTTGCTGAGCCACACCTTCCTGATAATGTTGTTGTTGTTGTTGTTAAGTGCCGTCGAGTCGTTTCCGACTCATAGTGACCCCATGCACAGCAGAATGAAACACTGCCCGATCCTGCGCCCGCAGCACGATCCCTGCTATACTTGAGCCCATCGACGCAGCCACCGTGTCAATCCATCTTGTTGAAGGCCTCCCCCTCTTTCGTCGACCCTCCACCCTACCAAGCATGACATCCTTCTCCAGGGAATGGTCCCTTCTGACA